TGATTCAGCGCATGTTGCCCCCCTCCCCCAAAGCCAATCGGCCCTGGAGGGTTGATCAAACTAAGAGCCGGGCGACTCCTGAAGCCTGAGCGGGGCGACTCCAGGGCCAATCGGCCCTGGAGGGTTGATCAAACTCAGTCGCTGGATGAAGGTAGAGAGTAAACAAATAAAAGAAAAGGGACAATAGCGAGAAGAGGGGGGGGCACCATTACCTCGAAGGAGCAGAATAGAGAGAGGCCGTTGCGGCGGCGGCACGGGCTCACGCTCGCCAGAGCGGAAGGCGCAAAGGCGCTCCCCCGGCTCATAGGATTAAGTCGGGCGTGTTTGGAATATTCCCCCTGTAGAGGGACACGCCCGACTTAATCGTAGGACACCCCCACCGGCGCGCGACTGGAACCCTCGCCTGCAAGCAGGCGAAGGGTTCCCAGGGCGTTGGCCTGGGGGCGTTCGGGGGGAGGGGTCCACCGAGCGCCGGGGAGGCGTGGGCCTTCCGCGGCGCCTGTGTTCCCCGCGCTCGCTCTCGCCGCTGTCGCGGCGGCGGCGGCGGCCTCGCGTGGCAGCTGATCCTGTCGCGACGTCTCTCGCAGCTGCGCGTCTTGAAGCAGCTGCGCGTCTTGACACCGCTGCTCCTGTTGCTGCTGCTCCTGCTGCGACGCTTCTGATCGAGGGGCTGTGCGTCTTGAGACAGCTGCTCCTGTTGCAATGTTTCCGACCCGATGTGGTGGGCGGGCATGCGCGGAAGGTGCAGGCACGCGGCCAGTTGGCAGCCAGTGCCGTCGAAGCCCTCTCCCTCGCCCCATCATGCGCAAATACTCGATACGAGAATATGCGGGGAAATCTTCTGGCCGTGAACGGAACAGCCTGCAAGGAACTCTTATTATGATAACGAAGAAATGACGAAGACATGTCCTCCGCCAATAGAAACACGCAACACACGCACGCCACCACACACACGTTCCACGCGCGCACACACACGAAAAGCTCCTCCCCCAGCGAAGATGCGATGGATGGGAAGATGAGCGTGGCCATGAATATGCACAACACTTGCTCCACGAAAATATTACGTGATGGATTTGCTCGGAACGTGTTCCTCTGCACATATGGTGTCAAACAGCTGGTCTGTGTCGCCTGTTTCGTTTCCTCTGTCCCAAACCCGATCAAGCACCACATTGGGTTGGTATTCACTTTGATACAAAATCAAAAAATAAGATGCGTGGAAGAAACCGTCCACCAGCTGCGACTTGGAACGTAGCGTTGCTTCAGTCTTGTCTGGCTTCACGGACATGGACTCACTGCGTGCAACAATCTCCCATCGTCATGAGTCCGCGTCGAATGTTCCCAATGTGCCTTCTGTGCTGTTGAGAGTTGCTTTCCTATCAGGCGCACATATCGAACTGGTTGTCCTTTTTGCAAAGGAAGGAACAACGGGTGCTGCTGGTGTCTCAGACGCTGGGGCGGCGGGCGCTACCACCGCTGCAAGCGACATCGAGTATCACGCTGCTGGTGCCGCTGCCGCTGGAGGTACATGTGAAGAATATGAGCGGGAAAACTTTGCCCTGCGGGTTTTCGAGGATGTGGGAGACAGCGCCTCGGGGCCTCCACCTTCTCTGACCACTTCTTTCGCTTGGGGCACAATGTTGCGGTCAGCCGCCGTGTCTGCTGCAAGTGGCGAGAGATTGTGGTCAGGAACGAACGTCTCTGCGTTTGGATTCAAATATATGTTGTTACCAATACTCTGTCCCCGTCTGTAGAATCAGCAGACCATAGAAGTGGACGAAGATCGACACGATTGGGAAAATCAGGCGGGATGTCTGCCGCGGCAGACATAAATAGCAGAATGCTCGGCATGTGCGGCGCTACTTGTAAACCATGTGACTGATGGCTGGCGCATCGCACAACAGTCACAGATGTGTGATTATCAGGTTGTGTGCGCGCGCGACTGATTGGTCTGCTATGGTTCTTCGCCACAATATTGTGACACCCCGTGTTTGTACTACTGTTCTGTTAGTACGAGGTGCCTGTCCCAAACTCCTCAGTGCTTTCAATAACGATCGATCAACATGTGACGGTTGCGTACAAGAACGGGAAGGGAATTGCAGGAAAGCAGTCATTAATGTATAACGTGTCGTGCCGAGGGCCCAGCGGAGGGGCCACGCCCCCGAATCGGGCAACGGTATCCATCTCCTCCTCCTCCCCTTCCTTTTCCTCCCCGCCTTCCTCCTCCTTCTCATCGTACAGGGGGTC